CTCCTTTTCTCTTTCATCTCACTGACAATAATCTTCTGTGTGGTTGTGTAGGTCAAACTAGAGCAAGGATTGAAAATGATTAAAATTTTCAAGGAGCATTCCAGCAAAACTTGCATTCTGGATGATTTTGGGTTCTACGAGGGTCGGCAGAAGACAATTCAGGAGAAGAAAGCCAAGCAACAACTATTCCAGAAACAGGTACTAATCTTTTCCCTGTCCAATCAACTCTGAATATATGGAGGCTTCTTTGGTAAAATGGCCCTTATGTATTATTTGCAGGTTTGGGAAGGGAAACCCGTTGATGAGAAGAAAGAGTTTGTAAATGTATCACAGAAGTTGATGGATGTTGCGTCTGATTTATCCAGGGAACCTTCTACAATTGTATTAACTGATGGGGACCTGAAGGTTTCAGAAAATGGATCAGTTTCAAAAATTGGTGATGCCTTAAACAGTGTTAAACAAGCAGTTGTGCCAGAAAAGAGGATACTATCTAATGGGATTTCAAATGGTTGCTAACTCTTGGCAAGCACCCACGGCAGCCTGCGATATTGCACTGTTATCTGAAAGGAATAGTATTTTTGTGGTGTTACAAGAGGCAGGACGAAAATACTGGTTGCTCCCTAGACAAAGGCTGCCGTGCTGGTCTGTCCCCGCCAACTACAAAGCGAAGGATTGGTACAGAAGTCAAAAGTAATGTTTAGATATCGTCCATTGTGGTCAGGCATCTGAGAATGAAGTACTACTAGCGCCCCCCTCTCCCCGTTTTGTTGTTCTGGATATGGTTTTTAACTGGTTAGCACCTGACAGTTCTTCACTGCCTAGGAGGTTTCTGTTTGAGGCTTTGTTATCTTCAGTATGGTTATTTTTATTTCTTTGGGTTAAATTTTTGAATCTATTTTTAAAAGATTTATAATTTCAGTTATCTTGTGTTTGGGTATCCCCCACCTTGTAAATCCAGACCTACTTGTAGGAGAGGAGGCATGAAAGAAAAAGAAAGCAAGGTGGGAATGTATTTGGGATATAGTAATGAAAGCAGGTTTTCTTTGTTTTTCTTCTTTTTCTTTTTCTTTTTTATATAAATTTCCTTGTTGATGATGCCTTTACGCAACATTTCTAGACATTATGAAGATTGTGACCTTGGATTTGTCTTCTTGTGTTGTCTGAGAAACAGCCATGGAAAATTCTGATGGAACTGGTTGCGTTAGTCTTACTTCCACACACATATGTATATATTTTCATTGATGAATTACTTGTAATTGGGATGACTTGTATTTTCGGCGAATGCGAACGCGATAGATCCAAATTTTACAAAGAACTGAAAAAGAAATTGAGTGGAAGACTAGTTTTTCGTTAGTGGAAAGCCAACAACATTGACTCTAAAATCTCAGTGGAAGAATGGCTTCTGGGTGGGGAATCTCCCGGAGGATACGAACATATATGCGGACACATGCACGGACACGTCGAGCACAAGTGCGGCTTCTCCATCGTCTTCTTCCATTATTCTTCTAGATCCATGGAGATACTCTTAATAATTCAAATGTGTTGGTTTAATCTCACCATCACGTAATTTACTTCAAACATGGTCGCTATATACAACAATAAATCAGTTGAAAATACATTTTGGGATATTTCAATTTTTATGTAATATACATTGTGTGTGTTTGTGTGTGTGTGTGTGTATATATATATAATATAGATATTCGAAGTCTTTCCGTGTTGAAAATTGCAACTAGAACTTAGGTGGAATCTTAGCCGACTGTTTATCTTGTTCTTTAATGTCAATGGATTCTGTGACTCTGGTAGGAAGTTGAACGCCTTGAAACTTCATCCCCTTCTGAGGAGAGGAGGAGCTTATGTGGCAAATCCATCTCCTCTCTTAATTAACACAGTAACAAAACTTGTTTAAATTAATTAAAAAATATTTATTATGATAATCCCACAACCCCAACATGGATACGATCAGCTTCCTTCTTCTCCGTCACAGCCGCCGATCCTAATCCTTTCGCTTCTCCAGCTTCCTTCTTGAATATGGCTTCTGCTCTTGGTCGATTTGGAAGAAGATCGCCTCATTCCCTTTCGAGCATCAAGTGCTGTTCATCTTTATCTTCCTCTCATTCGGATCTTCCACGCCAATCCACTGCCAAATCCTTGAATCTCTACTCCGCTATCAATCAAGCGCTTCACCTTGCGTTGGACACTGATCCTCGGTAAGTTTTCCACACCTTGCGTTGGATTTTTTTTTTTTTTTTTCTCTATACGTTTATGTTTCTTGGTTTTGGCCTTCTGATTATTGATTTCCATGACGAAGACAATCTGGGTAATTTTCATTTCGTTCTCTTCTTGCTGCTTTCTGTATTTCTCGTTGAATAAGCATGTAAGATTCTTGACATATCAATCCTAATTATCTGGTTTCTGTTGCTTTCTGTATTTCTCGTGAATCAAATGAAGATTTGCACAGAATGCTTATAGTTTAAACTTGATATTAATCCAATATGTTCGTTACTTCACAGTTCTTATGTGTTTGGAGAAGATGTGAGCTTTGGTGGGGTCTTTCGTTGCACAACAGGATTAGCTGAACGATTTGGCAAACATAGGGTTTTCAACACCCCTCTTTGTGAGCAGGTATTTTGGTCATGCAAAATTGCTACTTGAGATGAGTGTCCATTGCCATAGTACTCATGGGTGTCACTTCAGCTAGCGTCTGAAAGTTGGCAATGCTTTTCTTTTCTCATAAAAAATTGGGGTAGAGTGGGGCTTCACTTTCCTGCCTAGCATTAGGGACACAATAAGCAGACTTGATTCTTTGGTGTTCTTTTAACTACTATTTCATTTTCACTTTTCATAATTTATGTTTTTCAAACGAGGTGCATCTCCCATATTAACTTGTTCATGAACACAGGGAATTGTGGGATTTGGCATTGGTTTGGCAGCAATGGTGAGTTTGACTACTTGGTGTTGGACTGCTCGGTTCTTAATTAAATCCTCAGTTTTTACCCAAGCTATTGATGGAGCTTATGCTTGCATGTGTTCTATAGGGTAATCGAGCAATAGCAGAAATTCAATTTGCAGACTATATTTTCCCTGCTTTTGACCAGGCAAGCACCAGTTATTCTTAAGTGATATCTTTACCCCATAGTTTTTTGATTGACACAGTTTGTACTTACTAGATTGTGAACGAAGCTGCAAAGTTTAGATATCGAAGTGGAAATCAATTTAATTGTGGAGGTATATTTTTTTTTAATCCTTTCTAATGTTGTGTTTTCATTTTTTTATGCCCTCTTGTTCATCCTTCCTATCCTCTGGCATGATGAGGTCTCATATGATTCCCCAGGTCTGACAATCAGAGCCCCCTATGGGGCTGTTGGCCATGGTGGACATTATCATTCACAATCTCCTGAAGCTTTCTTTTGTCATGTTCCTGGTATCAAAGTATGTTTCTTTCTTTATAAGATAACTTTTTCTTTGTCTTCTGATCTATCTTTTTCTTTTTAAGGCCATTATTTGATCTTTACGTTAAGAAACCATCATACCCCTGAAGCTGCACTTTCCTTGTTTTTGTTAGACATCTGAAATAACTAGTATCATCACATCCCAAGGTGAAGTACAATATAAACACATGAATTGGTGAGAACACTGGTAAAGGTTCCACTTACTTACTACATCCTGTTTCTGGAATTGTTATTTTTAGTTAAGACACAGCTTATGTTTTCTATCTACTTGTCAAAAGATGTAAATTGTTCACTTCAATCTGTAGCATGCAAGGTAATCCAATTCAGGCAAATAATTTTTATTTTATAACTGAAAGAATTTGGCTTCATGCTGTAATCTGCCGAGCAATACCTAATAAATGCACACAAGGTTTTATTGCACTTAATAACGGAGTGCATGTCCCTTCTATTTCGCCCTCGTCTTTGTTTACACTTCATTGATCAAAGCCACCTTGAAATCAACTGGAGTTTCTATAGGTTGGGATAATATCTATAAGAATTTTAAGATGAACCTGAACCTCTTGTACTTTCCTTTTGAAGTATGGTATTTCTATGGTTCCAGTGAAGTGCAGACTAGATAATCACTTAATTGTCTTGTAGGTAGTCATACCCCGAAGCCCACGGGAAGCAAAAGGATTATTGTTATCATGCATTCGTGATCCAAATCCTGTTGTCTTTTTCGAGCCGAAGGTACTCGACTTGTTCACATATTGAATTATAAATTGGGTGGATAAATTTAATATAGTCATCTGAATAATGTTGATAAATCATAAATGCCTTTTATCTTTACAGTGGCTCTATAGGCTGGCAGTAGAAGAGGTTCCTGAGCATGATTATATGTTGCCATTATCAGAAGCTGAGGTATCCCATTTTTTTATTTGTGATGAAAAATTATAAATTGAAGTTAATTCAAAGTTCAATCCTCAGGTGATTAGAGAAGGAAGTGACATAACACTTGTTGGGTGGGGAGCGCAGCTAGCTATCATGAAACAGGCCTGTCTTGATGCTGAAAAGGTAAATGATCCTTTCTGATGTACAAGTTTCTTGCTTGCCTTAATTACGCACAATAATCATTGTCAACACCCAGATTCCAGATACTCCTTGCTAAGTTAATCCATAGTCACAACTGTTTCACTATGTTAGATATAACATAACTGCTGGGATGTATGGGTGCTTAACCAATAAGGATTTGGTCATGAGGTTTTGCAGGAAGGAATTTCCTGCGAACTGATAGACCTGAAGACCCTAATACCGTGGGACAAAGAAACAGTCGAGGCCTCTGTCAGCAAGACTGGAAGACTACTTGTAAGTAGGATTCCCACCTTAACCATGTTGCAAAAGTAGCTGGAATTGTAATTGCTAGTTTTGTTTTCCTTATTGTAGATTAGTCATGAAGCTCCGGTTACTGGGGGCTTTGGTGCTGAAATCTCTTCTTCTGTTATGGAACGTTGCTTCTTGAGGGTAAATACTGACTTTCTGTTGTAGATTCCGTGTACTTTCCCCATTTGTTGTTTTCTACGTCTTGGTCAGCAAGTTTTTTTCGGCTCCTTCTTTCTTGTTTTCTTATTTGCTTCATTTCTTTTAATGACATCTCATATTTTGGGAAGTTTATTTAGGTAGGGGTTTCCTTATTGATTCATGCCTCTCTGAGCTATGCAGAGTCAAACAAATTTTCTGAATTATTTTTGGCGAACAGTTGGTTTTATGATGGAAATATCTTCTTCAAAATTTTGTTGTCTCAGTACGGAATGTAATGCCATCGCGCCAATTTATGTAAACATCAAATAATTTTAGCAAATAGATAAGAAAACAACTTGAGAATACTAAATTTAGGAAGGAAAGAATAATCTGCATCATCGTCTCCTCCTCAGTCTTTCAATGAGTAGTTTGGTTATAATACTTCATCTGCAAAACAAATAACTTTTCTTTTTTCTTCTGAGACATGCATGTAAATAACAATAAATGAGAAGAGGCTAACAAATATTTAGATGACTTAAAAGAGCATCTTTCATGCGTGAACTTTTATATGCATGCATTGCAGCTAGAAGCTCCGGTTGCCAGGGTTTGCGGTATGGATACCCCATTCCCTCTTGTTTTTGAACCCTTCTACATGCCAACCAAGAACAAGGTAAAATTTTTTGTTCTCTCTTTCATTTACGAGGCATTGCTTCTGCGAAGGTCAAAGCCTTGTTTGCCAACACAAATCACCCATCGATGCAGATTTTAGATGCAATCAAATCGACTGTAAGTTATTAGTGCATAAAGTCGCATCTCAACGCATTTACTGCCCGAGCTACATTGTATATACAGTCTAGTTGACACCCGTGCATGGGGATGGAGACCAGAAGGCAGGTCAGTGAAAGTTATGGGTGGGTGGAGCTTGTTCAGTTCCTCAGCTGTGGGAGTTAGATGATTAATAATAAGTGGTTCTGCACTGTTCCTTGCTATAATTGAAAATAGTGGATTACTGGATCCTCCAATTAGTGGTTGGATCAACTTCTACTTCAGTTGTAAAAAACCTCGTCTCCTCTGTACTAACTGTTGATTTCTGGTTATGGAAACAATTTTTTTTCTTTTGTTTTTGTTTTCTTTGAGGTGGTGGGAAGGCAACTATTTGGTTTTAAACTAATTCTATTTTTATCTTGATTTGTCTGATAATTCCTAATTTATGTTTATGTATTTAATACATAATTAAATTATTTTTTTTGCATCTTCAATTTTATTTGAAATTTTGGCATTGGCTTTCTATTTAATAAAATTTTTAAGAGTTACCGCCGCTGTTTGTGTTGGATTCAATTTTTATTTTCTCCTCCGCCCACAATCGGAGCCGATCAGTTTATATTGCATGCTACTTATAAAAAAAATCTTCGGTAGTATCTAAATTTCAGAAAGATTTTTAAATTCAAAATTGTTGCTCATAACAATTATCTCAAGAACAAAATGATTTTTAAGTTTAAAGCGAATAAAACTAATGTCCGTGTTTCTTATGCGGTTTACCATATGTTAATAAATTACAAAACTACAAAGTATATAGTGAAATATAATGTTACTCGAAAGTATCAAGTGTGTTAGCCAAGAACCTTGACCGTGCAAATTATATATATTTTCGAAAAGAGATAGAATGACCAAACAAAAACCGGTCCTGAATGCAGTCATAGAATTATAACAGCTTCACTAACCTCTGAACAAAATTTCTTTTAAACGACGAAGTGATGATATTACATGAAGTCATTAACTTAGGACATGGTTAGAGTAGAAGAGCAACCTTTGTCAAACCCCACTCGTGTATGGCATTATGATACCTACAACAATTCCCAGATTTCAGTTTTGTTCGTCAAATATTATCGAGAAGATCATCCTCATCCCGAGGATTCTCAAGGTCAGTAATGTGTTGCTTAAATGAAGTTGCAGCTTCTTCCCTTTTCTCCAAATCCCCTAGAAAGTCATGTACCCTTGCCATCAAGTAGAAAGCTTCAGCCCCCAGTTCATGATACTGTCCAACAAAAAAACAATTTCCATGTCATCCACTGAAAAACGTACAACTCTAATCAAGAAAACCAGATTTACATGCGACTCAATACTCAATCTAATTTAAAGGGTTGAGTTCTTGGGGATAGTTTCTCTCTTTTGTAGGTCTACAATTGGACCAAAAACCAAAAGCAAAAGAACAAAATGTATGAATTTCTCTTCTTGTTGAATGCCGTGGTACTCGTTAGATTAGTCACATTCTTCTATCAAAGAGTGTTTCCTCCAACTTGATTTTTCATTTCATGTCTCAGATAATTTTTAAAGAGCTAGTCAATTTTGATTCAACTGGTAATTCTATGAAATCAGAATGTTAATACACATATACTACACTTTTCTCTTAAAAGATAAAAAAAAAGAAGGATATTCGTACAATACAATTGAGATAAAAGATTTGAGTGAAACCAGGATTTTGATACTTAGTCAATTTCATGTTCAATCAATTTAGTCACATATTTCTACCTAAACAAATAGAAACACAAAACTACAATTATGTGATTGAAGACACAAATAGAGTTTGTTCCGTCATGTATCAAATATGTAAACTATAACTGAATTAGACGTATCACTGTATTAGCATTTAAAATTTGAATGGGGATAAAATGCACTTGGACCAGATGCAACGTTTGGATTCATTATGATTAGCACAACGACTTCCATGACTCTTTCTAATAGAACTCAACCCCGTGGTAAGTCTCAGCAATTCATCAAAACTGGATTAAGTAAATCAACAACAGGAAAAGGACCAAAAACACTCATAACTTGCAGTCAAACAGACCAATTTTCATTTTTTCTTTTAAGTATTGCATAACATTCATAACTTTGTCCTCAGAATTTAACTTACCTCCAGTGCCCGAAGATCATCTGCAGCTTGCCTCAAAGGTTCCAGAACAACCTCAGAATTTTCAGAAACTGCATAACATGCACGGGCACAACAATTATCAGTTTCAATATTTGTTTGGAGAAAAACTGTGAATTGAACATCCCTTGCAACAATTTTGTTGTAATGCATCAATAACTCCGTTTTGCTTAATAAAGAATGCATCTTAATCCTTTGAGAGAACCAATTGAACATCCCTTACGAATGTACTGCTGTAATACATCTATAATTCCTTCCTTAATAAAGAATGCACCTAATCATTTGAGGGAATAATAATGCCAGATACATAAACCACCACAGGTTTACAGCAGAAAATTACAAATTGTCGACTATCACAATTCCAGAATATTTGACATTAATGCCAGGATCCCAACTTTCCCTTTTGTATCATCAATCTCTTTCTCATCAAGGTGTCAGTATTCTCCTTTAAATTCTCTAACCATATATTGTTCATTCCATAGCACATCCCATAATTCATATGTGTAAAGGTTCAAATGAAATTATATAAAAAAAGTCCATCTTCCTCTCTCTGTTCATTGTTATGTTTCATCATATAGATTTAGAGATTCACCCATGATTACTACACATTCTATACAACCATTTCCACACCCAATTGCATCCATAATAGCCCATCACATAAACAAGGATGTAAGTAAGTGGATTTCAGTAATTGAGAAGATTGAAAGCAGCCTAGCTGGTAGAAGTTCTTCTAAAGATGGTAGATTTACTTTGTTTAAGTAACCTCTCTAACTTGCCTATAACCTTAAAACCTGACCTAGTTACTCCCTTCCAGACATGCAAACACTGATTCCAGGGTACTTACCTACTAATACCTGCACATTGTACACTGAGTTCTTCTTGATAAGAATAAAATGAGAAAGACGACAAGATATAATGGATATTGTAGATATCTTGAATATTAAATCCATAGTTTTTTCTGGATGAGATAAAACAATAATATAAAAGCAAAGCAAAAACACCTGAAAAGCTTGGATCAGATAAGTAGCATTTTGCTTCAAAAATATAAGCACGAGCCCGAAGCTCCAAACCCCCATGGCCAAGAATCATTGGAAATGCCCCATGTATGAGGGATAAAGCCCTTTTTGCATGACTTGATCCAAGTGCAAGCCACAGCTCAGCAAGTGTTAAGGTGGCTGACACTTTTAAGAGATCCAAGTTAAATGACTGACAGAATGAGATGCTTGCTAATGCATATGGAAGGCCTTGAACAGCATTTCCTGATTTCTGGTGACAGCATTTAACAAAACCCTGTTTAGATGTATGGAGGCACTAAAAGAAAAAAAGTAAGGATATAGTTGGCAAACAATTAGAAGCTCATGTACCAATATACAATCTTTTTTATTTCCCACCCCCTTCCACCAGAAAGAGAATGACTTAAAGTATTTAACAAAATAATCTACAGAACATATGTGGAAGAAAAAAACATAATCCAAGAGAACATAAGCATATCTGGAAAACCAAGGCTCCACCTAGCATTGCCTTTTTTGCCTGGGAGACTTGTTGGGAGAGGATTTTAACTATTGACAAGCTGAGAAGTAGAGGAAGGGTGCTTATTAATGGTTGTTATCACCGTTTAAATGCTGAGGAAACATGTAACCATCTCCTTTTGTAGTGTCTGATTGCACATAGTCGTTGGAGCATGGTTTATGGCCTTTTAGGTTTGGATTGGGTTATGGCTGAGTCTGTGGAGGGTGAACTCTGGGCTTGGGATGGTTTATATGTAAAAAATAAGATTGCTAACTTGATCTCTTTGTCTATTTTCTGGATCATTTGGAAGGAGAGAAATAATAGGATTTTTGATAGTGTTAAGAGTAGTATTTCTAGCATAAAAGATATGTGACTTTATTATTTTGAGTCTATTTTACTAGATCATGACATTATCAGTGATGTAGATTTTGGGAATGTTATTGATATACTAATACGATTGTAAATCTTTTATAAATGAGCGGTACCCCATTTTTTGGTACTTTGTCAATACATATTATACATTTTTATCTAAAAAAAAGGAGAACATAAGCATATCACTCATGTCAAAATAAGAGCAACACATGCATGAGTGTCACTTATCTCCCATCCATAAACGGACACTGGAATCCACTTCAACTCCTAATCTGCTTTCGACTTTGGAATTTGGGCACAAAAGCAAGATATCAATATGCTATTTACTGCGCTTCTCTTCTAAAATTTTGTTTCCTCCTTCTGGCATGGATATAAAAGGGGATTTGGGTTTGAAAGAGAGAATTTGTGTTATATCTCCTTTCGTTTAGTGGTCATCCTCTTAACACTGAAGAGGATTTAGGGAACCTTCAGTTTTGTTTTCTTTTTGCAAATTGGTAAAGCTTCTTTGGTATTCTGGGGGCAACCCTTTGTGCCCTATATACTAATATTTCTCTTTTCCTCTGAAGAAAAAGGTACAAAAGAGAGAATTTATAGTAAAATCTCCAATGTGTGATCTCTGGAAAGTAATATACTCAATCCAATGATTCCCTAATATGATAGATCAAACATTGATTTACCTTGTGAATTTCAGCAAGCAAAAGAAGAACTGAGGCATTTTCAACTTGGAGATTGAATTGGTAACACATGCAAAAAAGAGAGTGTGCCACAGCTGCAGCCTACAGAGAACAATGTATCAAAACAGATAGCAAACTAAAGCAACAGAATGAAGTAACATGAACCAGTACACCCTCAGTGAAATTTAGTGTTAGCATTGCATGGAAGACTTATCTCAGTGAATGAATGCACTCAACGAGAAAGATGATATGATTTTTTGAGTTTGATAAATAAGGTAACAGTAAAATGACAAAAACAAAAACAAAAACAAATTATGGTGCAGAATTGTCTCACCAATTTGTCATTCAATTATTAAAAACAATACTAGTGAAGTGTCACAGAAATGATGTAAAGAAACGAAAAT